CAGTGTACAGGGTTCAGAAGGACAGTGTATAGGGCTCAGCAAGGCAGAGGACGAGTCAGCAGGGCAGTGTACAGGGGGTCAGCAGGACAGTGTACAGGGGGTCAGCGGGGAAGTGTACAGGGGGTCAGCAGGGCAGAGGACGAGTCAGCAGGGCAGAGGACAGGGGTTAGTGTTAGGTAACGTAGAGTTCAAAGTTCAGTAGTAGATGAGGCAGAGTTCAGAGGTCAGCAGTAAGTGACACGGAGGACAGACTTTGCCTAACAACGGGAGGAGCTTAAAAGGGGAATGACTAAACAGAATCTGTGCCTAGTCGCTGTATACACTGCACACATATAGCTCAGTCCTTGTACCCACAAAATACTCCCACTTACTAGGTCACAAGTGACAGTCTCACAGATACACATAAACCTCAGAATGAAGGATCATTTTTTAAAAAAGTAAACGTTTCCATCACTTATGCTTTTTTTGCGCACTAAAAATGATCGCTTTGTCTGTCTGCGCTTCGTCTGCGATTACTTAAAGAAGAACTACATTAAAACCATCAATTGTTGGACCAATGAACACCTTGGTCAGGACTATGTCATGTACAACATAATGTGTAGGGGTCAGGAGTAAGTAACAAAACAACGTATGGAGAGCAACTCAGAATGAGCCCACCAGTTCATATCAGATTCCCACCTTCCATCAAACAGAGTTCCCCCCACCCTCACATCAGAGTCCTCCCCCTTACCTTAGGGTCCCCAGATCCCCCCTTTGCATCAGGATCCCCAAAGTCACCACCCTTATATTAGAGTCCTCAGAGTGAACCCCTTACATTAGGGTTCCTTGAACCACTCACCTTTCATCAGGATACCCAGAGTCACCTCCCCTCAAGGTCCCCTGAGTCAAACTCTTACATCAAGGTTCCCAAAGGCCCTCTCTTTACTTCAGGGTCCCTAGTGTAATTCCCTTCAAAGAGAGTCCCCAGAGTTTCCCTAGTTAGATCAGGTCTTCTGAGTCCTCTCTTTACATCAGGGTCCCCCCTCCTCCTTACATCAGGGTCCTCACTCCTCCTTACGTCAGGGTCCCCCCTCCTCCTTACATCAGGGTCCCCACTCCTCCTTACATCAGAGTCCCCCCTCCTCCTTACATCAGGGGTCCCCCTCCTCTTTACATCAGAGTCCCCCCTCCTCCTTACATCAGGGGTCCCCCTCCTCTTTACATCAGGGTACCCCCTCCTCCTTACATCAGGGTCCTCCTCTTTACATCAGGGTCCTCCTCTTTACATCAGGGTACCCCCTCCTCCTTACATCGGGGTGCCCACTCCTCCTAACATCAGGGTACCCCCTCCTCCTTACATCAGGGTCCCCACTCCTCCTTACATCAGGGTCCCCCTCCTCTTTTACATCAGGGTCCTCCTCCTCCTTACATCAGGGTCCCCCCTCCTCCTTACATCAGGGGTCCCCCTCCTCTTTACATCAGGGTACCCCCTCCTCCTTACATCAGGGTCCTCCTCCTCTTTACATCAGGGTACCCCCTCCTCCTTACATCGGGGTCCCCCTCCTCCTTACATCAGGGTCCTCCTCCTCTTTACATCAGGGTCCCCCCTCCTCCTTACATTGGGGTCCCTCTCCTCTTTACATCAGGGTACCCCCTCCTCCTTACATCAGGGTCGTCCTCCTCTTTACATCAGGGTATTCCCTCCTCCTTACATCAGGGTAGCCCCTCCTCCTTACATCAGGGTCCCCCCTCCTCCTTACATCAGGGTCACCCCTCCTCCTTACATCGGGTTCCCCCTCCTCTTTACATCAGGGTACCCCCTCCTCCTTACATCAGGGTCCCCCCTCCTCCTTACATCAGGGTCACCCCTCCTCCTTACATCGGGTTCCCCCTCCTCTTTACATCAGGGTACCCCCTCCTCCTTACATTAGGGTCCCCTCCTCTTTACATCTGGGTCCCCCTCCTCTTTACATCAGGGTCCCAAGAGCCTCTTGAATTATAGACAACAAGAATAAAAGATAAACGGAAGGCGGTGCATCTAAAGCCGTCCAAAGATGGATTGAAATTCGGTCAGTTCCTGCTGCACTGGACGAATTTTAATCCATCTATGGGCTGGCTGGTTGTACTGAAGTTGATTGATTTCAGTGCAACTAGGCTGTTGGGCTTTATCATCCAATTTGTGCATCTTCTTTTAGAAGCAGAAGGGAAGAGGTAGAAGGGAAATGCTGGAGCTCTCAGTGTGCTCCTGTCCAGGGGCGGACTGACAACTCATGGGGCCCCCGAGCAATAAGGGATCATGGGGCCCCTGTGTCCTTTCCCAAAATCAAAAAAGCCTATGATAAAGGTACTAGGGGCAACTCATGGGGCCCCCTACTGACCCCGGGCCCTCGGGCAGTGCCTGAATTTTCAAATGGTCAGTCCGCCCCTGCTCCTGTCTCTCTCCACTTCACCAACCTCCATATTCCAGCCCTAGGAGGAGTTCAGCGGCCAGCACAGTGTTCAGGGGTGGAGGCAGAAAGGGGCTGATGACTTGGAGGGGGGATTAAACTGGAATCTGGTGGGGCATAGCCAGGGGCGGACTGACCATTCGAGCTCTCGGGCACTGCCCGAGGGCTCAGGGTCAGTAGGGGGCCCCATGAAATGCCCCTGTTACATTTTTTATAGGCTTTTTTTTATTATCGGTATGCTTTGAGTGTGGGCAAGGACACAGGGGCCCCATGATCCCCTATTGCTCGGGGGCCGCATGAGTTGTCAGTCTCATCCCAGCACCCCCCTAGATCCGGCCATTGATAGCACCGTGCTGGGAACTGTGTTGGGTCTGTGTGGAGTGGCGATCATACTGGTTACTGCAAGCGATACTGCGCCTGTTACTGCGAGTATTCCTTGACCAGGTCTTTTTTTCTCAAAGAATAGGTGCAGATACTCCCCCTCCCCTTCTGAGTTACCTCTTGTCTCCGCCCCCTACCCACCTCCGAGCACCATCCCTTAGTTTCATCCCCTACCAACCACACAGTAACACGCCTTTTAGAAAATACAGAACCAAGTATCATTTTGTAGTGCTACGTAGTTTGCATGGAAGTTAATATTGATAACAAGGAAAGCAGTAAAATAGATCCCCAGGTACAGCAATATCCCCCCCCCAGCAATAGATCTCCCAACAGCCAGCATCAATAGACTGTCCAGCAGCCAGCAACAATAGACCCCTCCCTCTATAGAAATTCTCTCTCAACAACAGACTCCCCACCAGCGGCAATAGACCACCCAGTGAGAATAGATCCCCCAGCAGCCAGCATCAGTAGACCCTCCAGCACACCCCAGAACCCCTTGGCATTACATACTTTCATTGCTGGAGGTGCTGGAACTGCGTTCCCCCAAGTTCCCGCCAAAAATGAGCCCTGCATGTCACTATCAGTGTTCTACACCTGTTGCCATAAGTAACAATACTAGTGCTAGCATCTGTGTTCTTGTTATCCTTTAACCTGCATCTTCTAAATACAAAAATGTTAATTCTTCATGGACTCTGTGTATGCTGCACCCAACTTCTGGCCCCACTCACAAGCTGATTGGGTCTCCTGTCATGTGACAGTCACACATGGGTTTGCGCTGAGCTCACTTTGGCCCAAACCCATGTGGCACTGTCACATGACACCAGGCCGCCATTCCAATCAGCTGTGGTCATGGAATTCCCCACCCAGCACCCGCATATAACAAAGGGGCAGGCATGCTGGTGCCATCATTGACCTAACATGGCCATATTTGGACAATGCCATTGAACAATATATGGCCATCTTGGGTGAATGATGTCAAGAGCATCCCAGCCCCTTTGTTGTTTGTGTGGCTGCAGGGTGAAGGAATTCCATGGCTGCAGCTGATTGGGCCTTCTGTCACGTGAAAGTCTCCCACGAGTCCAGTTTGGGAATTCAGTTTGGCTAGGACCCATGGGAGACAAGCACATAACAGCAGGCTGCCATCCCAGTGAGCTGGGGTCATAGAATTCCCTACCCACCAGGTGCATGCTGGTGGCATCATTGACCTATAATGGCCATTTTTGGACAATGCAATGTGACCATATTAGATGAATGCTGTCACCAGCATGCAGGGTGAAGGAATTCCATGGCTGCAGCTGATTGGGCCTTCTGTCACGTGAAAGTCTCCCACGAGTCCAGTTTGGGAATTCAGTTTGGCTAGGACCCACGGGAGACAAGCACATAACAGCAGGCTGCCATCCCAGTGAGCTGGGGTCATAGAATTCCCTTCCCACCAGGTGCATGCTGGTGGCATCATTGACCTATAATTGCCATTTTTGGACAATGCAATGTGGCCATATTAGATTAATGCTATCACCAGAATTCAGGGTGAGGAATTCCACGGCTGCAGATGATTGGGCCTTCTGTCTTGTGACAGTCTCCCACGAGTCCAGTTTGGGAATTCAGTTTGGCTAGGACCCGTGGGAGACTAGCACATGACAGCAGGCTGCCGTCCCAATGGGCTGGGGTCATAGAATTCCCTACCCACCAGTTGCTGGCTGGTGGCATCATTGACCTATAATGGCCATTTTTGGACAATGCAATGTGACCATATTAGATAATTGCTGTCTCCAGCATGCAGGGTGAGGAATTCCACGGCTGCAGATGATTGGGCCTCCTGTCATTTGACAGTCTCCCACGAGTCCAGTTTGGGATTTCAGTTTGGCTAGGACCCAAGGGAGACAAGCACCATGGGAGACAGTCTCCTATGGGTCCAGATTGAACTTTATCTCATCATTAGTGACAGAACTCCATCATGTCCAGTAACCACCTTATACTTTGTTACGTTTCATAACATCTGATCGAACAATAGTCACAAAGATGCAGTAACTGTTGATGTCTTTACAGGAGAACAAGATGTCCAATGTCACTGATGGGACGGGACCAGTCATGTTTTACAACCACAAGCAATTGTTCTCCATCCTGCTTTTATCTTTCACAACCCTCGTGGGTGTCCCCGGAAATGCTCTGGTGCTTTGGGTTACCGGAGTGAAGATGAAGTGGACCATGACTACCATTTGGTTTTGGAACCTTGCTGTGGCCGATATTATGTGCTGCTTGTGTCTCCCGTTCAGTGTAGTGCAGTTCTTCTACGCAGACTGGCTGTACGGTCCTGTGCTCTGCAAGATGTTAAACTTCATCCTTCCTTTTAACATGTTCGCCAGCGTCTTCACTTTAGTTGCTATCAGCGTTGACCGTTGCATCCTGGTTGTTCAACCCATTTGGGCCAGAAATCACCGAGGAGTACAAGTGGCGTGGATGACCTGCTTGACCATTTGGACATTATCCTTCATTATGTGTCTACCTAACGCCCTGTACCAAACATTATCCACTTCTCATAACAGAACCTTATGCTATTCTGAAGAGCACTCAATAGAGGTGACTATATACATCAATATGGTTTTTGGTTTTCTGCTTCCATTTCTAATCATCTTCGCCTGTTACATTTCTGTGGCTTTTATATTAGACAATAGAAGATTTTCAGCAGTTGGTAATAAAATCATCAAGGTGTCTTTAGGTATCATAGTGGCATTTTTCATCACCTGGGCCCCCTACCACATCATGGGTATAGTCCTGCTGTACATTGGAAATGAAGTAGTGGACATCCTGGACATACTCTCGCATTCTCTGGCCATGTTCAATAGTTGCATCAACCCAATACTCTACGTCTTCATGGGGAAGGATATGAAGGATAGAGTGAGGCAGTCTATTGCAGAGCTCATGCAAAACACGCTTAGTGAAAGCTTAACAAAAACACCAAATCGCACATGATGACTGAAAATGTCCTTCTACAGTGAAGATCTCTGTGTACAATGATGGATTACACCAAAGGACTATTGCCGAGACAATTAAAGAAAAACCTCCGCTTGAATGTTCAGATGGATCTGTAGCAGGGACGGACTGACAACTCATGGGGCCCCCGGGCAATAGGGGATCATGGGGCCCCTGTGTCCTTGCCCAAACTCAAAATAGCCTATGAAAAAAGGTACCAGGGGCATCTCATGGGGCCCCCTACTGACCCTGGGCCCTCGGGCAGTGCCCGAGTTTCCAAATGGTCAGCCCGCCCCTGATCTGTAGCCTTTTTTTGTTGTATTAGCGATTGTGATCAACTGTGGGACAGGGGCAGACTGACCATTTGGAACTCGGGCACTGCCTAAAGGCCCGGGGTCAGTAGGGGGCCCCATGAGATGCCCCTGGTACCTTTTTCATAGGATTTTTTGAGTTTGGGCAAGGACACAGGGGCCCCATGATCCCCTATTGCCCGGGGGCCCCATGAGTTGTCAGTCCACCCCTGCTGTGGGATATCTTATCAGTGAATGCTAGGGTGGCCATATGTGGGCAGATGTCTTGTACAAGTCACATGCCATTGACTGTTTTGTGGTTTGGCCAACTGGGCCAATGGGTGTTAGCAGCACATGCGTAAGGTCTAGGCTGCCCAACCTTCCTGCAAAGTCACCCTGACATAGCCAGTGTTTATGAAAACCCTGGTCTTCCGGGACAACTCTCTCCAATGTTTGGCCTTTTCCTCACCCTACCGAAATAGAAAAGGCTCACCTCCATTGCTCAAGGAGCTAGAAGAGAAAGCAAAGTCTTCAATTGTTTGGTCTTCAAATTATCCTTAGCCAATGGAAAATGATTACAGGCATGTAGGCACTTCTTGAATTTGACAAACCTACCCCAGCTTTGCCCTCTAGGGGGAAGAATCATATGGTCAGGTTGAGTTACCCTGGTTGACTGTTTCCTTCATAAGCCTTAAAAATGTTTCGGCAAACATACATGTACAAACAATGAAAGAGTATGAAAGTATACACTCACCGGGCACTTTATTAGGTACACCTTGCTAGTGCCAAGAAAACACCCCCCACACCATTACACCACCATCCTGAACCGTTGATACAAGGCAGGATGGATCCATGCTTTCATGTTCTTTATGCCAAATTCTGATCCTTTCGCAGCTGAAATCAAATTCCCATTCTCCTCTGACACTAACAAGGCATTTTCCTCCACACAACTGCCGGTCACTGGATATTTTCTCTTTTTCGGACCATTCTCTGTAAACCCTAGAGATGGTTGTGTATGAAAATCCCAGTAGATCAGCAGTTTTTGAAATACTCATACCAGCCCATCTGGCACCAACAACCATGCCATGTCCAAAGTCACTTAAATCCCTTTTCTTTCCCATTCTGACACTCATTTTGAACTTCAGCAAGTCATCTTCACTGCATCTAGATGCCTAAATGGATTGAGTTGCTGCCATGTGATTGGCTGATTAGCAAGCAATTGAACAGATGGACCTAATAAAGTGGGATTGCCGGTGAGTATATGTAAAGTCGAAACCTTTCACCTTCCTTTTGGAAAGGTTAGAACCTCCATCAAACTTTAGTTGCTGTATCTGCCCCCCACCCCCGAGGAGATTCAGTCTCAGTTATTTGTGAACACTGTCAACAATACAGAAAGTGATTGGATATTCAAAGTTATAGTTGTAGATGTCAATGAAACAGGAGGTGAGGGGAAACCTTATACTGGGGAAACCTGTTCTTGTGGCCACTGTCTGAGAGTGGACATCCTCTCATGTTGGAGGGATCTCCTCTTACTTCTTCCTGCGGCTCTGAGGAAAGAGTTAAATGAAACTCTCAACTAGAAAGATGGCAAAACAGAACATTTGACAGGTGTCTCAACCAGGGGTGGACTGACCATTTGGAAACTTGGGCACTGCCCGAGGGCCCGGGGTCAGTAGGGGGCCCCATGAGATGCCCCTGGTACCTTTCATAGGCTTTTTTGAGTTTGGGAAAGGACACAGGGGCCCCATGATCCCCTATTGCCCGGGGTGTCCCCCCATGAGTTGTCAGTCCGCCCCTGGTCTCAACCCTTTCCTACTCTATCAAAAACTTAAAAAATGAAGTAGAGTAGAGGTTTCCTGCTCAATGCTGCAATCTGGGTTCTCTGCATCTCCATCTCTAGGGGAAGATCGTGATAGCTGGTCTGTTGGGGGGGGGGGGGGGAATCAAGCAGCGGCAGCCATTTGGTGGGGATGGCTGTCAGTCATATCCATCCTGCATACACACGTACAGTCATCTTCATCCTGCATGCACACACACAGTCATCTCCATCCTACATACACATGTTCAGTCATCTCCATTATGAGGAACACACACACAGTCATCTCCATCCTGCATGCAATCACACAGTCATCTCCATCCTCCATGTAACCATACAGTCATCTCCATCCTACATACACACGTACAGTCATCTCCATCCTGCATGCAATCACACAGTCATCTCCATCCTCCATGTAACCATACAGTCATCTCCATCCTACATACACATGTACAGTCATCTCCATCCTGCATACACATGTACAGTCATCTCCATAATGCATGCACACACAGTCATCTCCATTCTGCATGCAATCACACAGTCATCTCCATCTGTCAGGAATGGACTGGCCAGCAATGGTGGGACTCACCTGCCTTTTGATCTGCAGTACCAGGGCTGGCCAGCGGGTGCTCCCAGCAATCAGAGACTCAACTTTGCAGCCAGCTAACACCTGGAACTGATTATGCTGGGGTATTTAAGGGATGGCCAGACCCACAGACTCTGCCTTGGTGTGTGTTTGTCCTGGGCCCTGTATCCTGTTTCTGTTCCTTTGCTGACCCTCTGTACTACGCTGCTTGCTACCTGTTCTGATCCCTGGCTTGTGACCCTGACCATCCCTCTGCTTGACCCTCTGTACTACGCTGCTTGCTACCTGCTGAACCTGGCCTGTGACCCCGACCATTCTCCGCTTGCTCCCCCTGTACCTACCTGCCCAATTGATATTGACCCGGCCTGCCTGACGACGCTTGCTTGTATGTACTGTTATCTGTGGGTGGTTGGTTGGGTTTGTTTGCACTGTATTATGTTTAGTATTGCACTGCGTTTATGTTTGTATTGTTAGTGTTAATAAATTATATTGTTTATCCCATATCTGAAGTCTGCGTTTCCCTGCGTCAGTCACACATCTCTGGTCATACCTGGGAGCCCTGACACCATCCTCCATGTAACCACACAGTCATCTCCATCCTGCATGCACACACACACAGTCATCTCCATTCTGCATTCACATACAGTAAAATTCATCCTGCATGCACACACACAGTCACACACACAGTCATATCCATCCTGCGCACACACACACACACACAGTCATCTCCATCCTCCCTCATTCTGCACTGTACATTACCTATTTAACATTACCACATTCTGCACTATGTACAGTAAGTCATCTCAAACTCATTTAACCACACCCCCTTTAGGCCACGCCCAACATTTAAAGTATGTTAAACCACGCCCACTTTTGCTGCAAAGCACTACGCATTATAACTCCTACCACACCCATAATATATGAATGCCCCGCCTCTAATTAAAGTAATGCCCTGCCTACAGAGACTTTCTCACCACACAGGAAAAAAAAATGTCCCTAAAAACGTTATGACCTTGATGTGTTGGCTGCACTAGTTTTCTTTTAGGACATTGGTCCCAAAAATGTACTTTTGTTTCTAAAAGGTATGTGAGATACTTGATTGCAGGGGCGGACTGACCATTTGGAAACTCGGGCACTTCCCAAGGGCCCGGGGTCAGTAGGGGGCCCCATGAAATGCCCCTTGTACCTTTTTTATAGGCTTTTTTGAGTTTGGGCAAGGACACAGGGGCCCCATGATCCCCTATTGCCCAGGGGCCCCATAATTTGTCAGTCTGCCCCTGCTTGATTGGTGTAGGCTCTGATTACAGGGGCCATCACAGACACAGTCCAAACATATCTTGTACCAAAAGTCCCCACTAGCAATAAAGAATAAAAAATGGCAAAAATGTCATCAAAACGATTGCCCGCTGTAAAGGCTCTCCCTATCAGCAGGAAACTCCCTGTTAGTATTGAAGGTTTCACATGGTCTTACCTACGGGGTCTTCTGTATGTCATGTCCCCATTTATCTTCACCTTCTAGCTTGTCTTTCCTTGATGCTATATACAGTAGGTGTGATGTATAGATGGCCCAGAAGCATGTAACCTTGTTCAAAACAGTAATAAACCTCCCAAAAAAAAAATCTGAGATCAAAATATTTCCTCTTCCCTGTGCCCCCTCCTCAAACTATTCCATCAAGATCAGTAGCACAACTATCCTTCTCTCCCCAGGCTCGAGGCGTAATCCTGGACTCCGAGCTCTGATCTTAGCCCCCATCCAATCACTGCCCAAATCTTTCCACCGTCACCTCCATTGCAGTTCTAGGATTTGCCCCTTCCTAACTAATAGTACCACTAAGCTACTCATTCACTCGACTACTGCAACTCCGTCCTCATTGGCCTACCTCTACATAGACTATTCCCCCTCCATTTCATCATGAATGCTTCTTCCAGGCTTATCCACCTCACCAACCACTCAGTGTCCTCCACCCCCCTCTGCCAATCCCTCCACTGGCCTCCACCCCTCTCTGCCAATCCCTCCACTGGCCTCCACCCCTCTCTGCCAATCCCTCCACTGGTCTCCACCCCTCTCTGCCAATCCCTCTTCTGGTTTCTGCTCACCAAAGATTACAATTCAAAATACTAACAACAACATAAAAAGGCACACATAACTCTGCCCTGAGCCACATCACCAGCCTCATCTTAAGATATCACCCTAACCGTCCTCTCTTCTCCTTCCAGCATCTCCTCCTCTCTAGCTTGAACATCACCTCCTCCCATGCTCATCTCCAAGACATCGCCTCCTCCCATGCTCATCTCCAAGACATCGCCT